TTTTGTGCAAAATTTTTCTGCACATGCATTTGAATATAAATTTCTGAGATTTTAAATCTGTTATTTTACCTTAATTTTAATTAAAAAATATTTTAAAACCTGCTGATTACCTATAGTATAATTAAATTTCAATATAATGCATGGTAACTGTTGGTAGTTTTGAAGTTTATATATTTTCTTGGCAAACTTCAGTTTTTGACGGTTTAAACCAGTATTATACCCTTGTCATGTCAAAAATCACTTTTTGACGTCAAAAACTCAACCCTGACTGTAGCATAATTTAATATTCGGTGAAAATCTTAGTTCTAAAAATCTTTGCTTTTTTTTCTTCCTCAATTCAGTTTATTTTTATTAGAAACCTGTTAAGATATGTTTTCTTTTTAAAAGAAAAATTGGATGAAAAATAACCTTCATATGATTTTTAATACATTACAAATCTTGGTCATTTTGGTATAAATGTTCCTCTCCCCCCCCCCCCCTTTTTTTTTTAACAAAAGGTTGCAAACTGTCCAAGAAGGATACTGCACAAAATGAGATTTCCAAAGCAGTTTATTACACTATTTTACTCAATAGTCTAGTGTGTATGTATTCTAATTACAAAGTATGCAATCTGATTATTTTGAACCACAATGAAGCCTGTTTATGGAGATGTTAGAGGAAAAATGAAGCACTCTAAAATTCTTTTATCTGGAAAAATTATATTGAATCACAAAAAGTATGTTTTTGTGATGTAAATCACGTTTTAATACAAGGTTATTCTAAGTTCAGTGATAATAGACCTATGTTATGATTAAGTTCTTATTTTTAATTTTTACATCAAAAATTTTGATTATTTACCCGGTTATTAATTTGAAAGTCTTAATATCTTTCTCAGTCTAATAATGTTTTATATTGGTTTATATATTTATAATTAAATAAAAAAATTAAAATGCTATGAAATAAAATTAATTCTAATTATCTGTTTTTAGATAAAACAAAAGGCTTGTATGCCAGAAAAGCTGCAGAGAACAATAACAGAGTATCTGTCATAACTAAGCACTCTTCCTTCGAAGGAAAACAGGAACCAATATATTATGCTCCACCTGTTTCTCCTCCGTCCCCAACCAGCTCAGATCGAAGCGACAGTTCAGACTCCGAGCTTGCCAAATGCATACACGACTTCAAAGAGGGTCAAAAGAATCACAATCAGATGTTGCTCAACATGAGTTCTAATTCTATCCGGTTTTCACCTAAAAAGGAAAGTCCTTTGAGGGAAGTCAACGATGATTCCATACGAGGAATTGTGAGTCCTCAAAGGATGCCCCATCTTCCAATACAGCCTGTACCGGTCTACAATTTTGCACCTTCAAAACGTTTTGAAAGCCCTCATCTACTACTAGTCAAAACTTACAATGAATTTGATAATAGCCATGCTATAAAGGTACGTTGTACTGAGCATCATGATTATTGCATTTGTTGTAGTTGAAATTGGAAGTATGAAAAATCAAAACTTAACATATTGCTGTGATATAACTTTTTTTTTAAAACTTTATTTTTGAATTCTTGCTTTAGTGAACAAATTATGGACTTAATATTTTTTAATTTTTTTTTATTTATTTTTTTACTGTAATTTCCTTCAAACAATAAACATGAATAAAGTTGAGCAATGTAAATTTTTTCGTTTTATGTTTATATTTTGCAATGGCTAAAATAAATCAGTCTTTTTTTACCTTTTATTTTGTTTTATTTTTATTGCTTTATCAGATCTTTTTATATATTAATGTTGAGTTCGGGAATGTGCAGTTTTTTTTCTTTCTTATTTTAATATTAGGATGTTTCACCATTTGAGTTAAATCATTTTCAATACTATACATATGTTCAATGCTGTAGGTTAGAAAATTTGAATGCTTGATTTCGAATGAATGCTGATCTTATTGATGTGTGCAAATTTTTTATGCTTGATATTAGATGAAATGTCCAATATGGGAAATATTTAAAAACTATTCTAATTTAATCATAATTATTTTGCTGTTCAATATTGACAATGAAAATATTTTTGACACCTTAAGAAAGATAAGCATTTAAAAAGTAACTAATCCAATATGTCTGATACTTATAATAAATAAAAAAATTTGGCGTAATTTTATTTTGTTTACTTAGAATTTTGCCCTGATTAATTAGTATGGAGTGAACGGATATACATTTGTATACCTTTGCCATTTTAGACGAGTTTTGTTCTTATTAACATTAATTCTAGAAATAAACAGTCAAATATTTGACTGAATATTTCACCAAAACACTTCAGTCTACATTATTTCAAATTTTAACTATTAATTAATGAGAACAAGATTTCTAAAAACCTAAAATATATTTATTAAATGTAAGTTTTTATATGCATTTCCCCCACCCCCCNTTTCCCCCCCCCCCCACACACACAATTTTGCAGTATGTACAAAAATTCTTGTCACAATTCACGCTTTCATTAACAAAACAATATATGTAGAAATACCTGTTTTAGCTTACTTTTTAAAATTTATTCTATTTTGAGTTGCAATCATCTCTTGTTTTTTTTTTTTCGTTTGATGAAAAAAATAAACATTCGACAAGGTATAACCATCACACACACTTATAACAAAGAATTGAAATTTTACAGAGTCGTAATTTTTAATACATACCTTCTGTTAGATAAGTTATTTGTTAAACTCAATTAAAAAACCTTAAATAGGTTGAGAAACATTAAAAAATATTCTTACTGAGAAAATATTTGATTTATTGCCATGAGCATGTTGATAAATACAATTAGATTTAATGAAGGCTAAAAATAAGCTTAACAAGTTTGAAATTTTAAGATTTATAATTTTATTGACCCAAAGCGTATTAGTGAAGATAACTGGATTTCATATTTGTTTCAGGAGTTGTACTTTCACCATACAAAATAATTATCAATATCTCAACTTCAAGATATTTTTATTGCCTTTTATGACGTGCAAAGCTTCTTGAATTATAATCGAATAAAAATAATACAGTTCAATTAGTTACGCTTTTTTTAGGTATTTAATTTGTAAAAGCTCAACAAAAAAAAATTTTAAATTTGGAAAATATTACTATAAAAATATTACTATATTTAAAAACTATTTTAACTATATTACTACTATTCAAAAATATTACTATAAAATCTTTGTTGGATACTTAGAAATTACTAGAATTAGTAATATTAGCTTGTTCAGTAAAACTAACATTTAACAATCATTAACCTGAAAATGGTTCATACCTAAGTACAATGAATTTTTTTTTCTATGGATTTTGCATAAAATTGATAGCAGATTTACAAGAAATTAGTAAAAGTAGTTTTTTTTTTAAAAAAAAATCTGTTTAACAATAGTGTTTTTGAAATCAAATTTCTTGTTGAATTACTTAACTATCTGGTGGTTACATATGTGTAATTTCGCGATTAGGTGTCCCTGTTACTGATGTTTCTCTGTTCTGTACTTGCTCTGATGTTACTCAACGCTTTCAGATAAAATAGAACACATTTTACTCTGCAGAAAAGAATGGAGCTCAAAATGAGACTTACTACTTTCATATCTGCTATACTTTTAACATTTTAAAGTGTGCACTCTCTCTACTACAGAGAACTTAGAATTCACAAAGAATTAAAAAATGCCCCTGGCAAAGCTGAACATCACTTTCTCCATACATAGTTTTATTGCAAATGATGTAGTCTATTATTTCTCACCTTTATGCAAGCAAATACATCTTTTAACCATTGGCACTTTTATTTGTTTTTTAGTGATATTTTAATAATTCAATTTTAATATATAGATAGTTCAATAATATGATTGTTCAAAACATCTAATAAGAATAATTAATAATCTTGTAGACCAATTTCTTTCTATCTAAAACCTCTTATAGAATAAAGAACAAAAAAATTTAGTTTGATAATGAGAAAATTATTAACTTGAAATAATTTTTGGTTGATAAAATAGGATTTAATTTTTTCTGCCTTAATAAGCATAATTTTCTGCCTTAATAAGCATTAATAAGCATAAATTTTAAATCATAACTAAAATTATGTTAGTTTGATTTAAATTCTAAAAAAATAAAATGCTGAATTTGATTGGATTGAGATATATTCCTATCATACGTACGCAATTCAAATAATTAACAAAGTGCGAACATTACATTCATGAGATTCCTATTTTAAAATATTTTTACTACTACTATGCTGTGCATGAAAAGTAAAAAGATAAGTCTGCATTACTACTCGGTTTTTTCTGCTTTATTTAAGAAAAAACTTTGTTTATTTAACAATTACTTTTAGATCAATGATTTTTTAAATTTAAATCTTATACAGTTATTATATATAAGTTAAATATTATACATACAAATATCTAAAAAAATTAAACATATCCTTATTTTAGCTTAGTGTATTAATTTATCTGTGAAATTTCTCTCTAAATTGTTAAGGCTTGTTTCTGCTTTAATTAAGAAAATATGACTCTGAATATTATGCTATATATATTTAATTAACTTTGAACTGTTAATTTAATACACATTGTTGCTGCAATCTGATGTACTTTAAATTCCTGTGACATGAAATTAGCATATCTACAAAAGTGATTTTTTTTTAAAGGTACTTGAACTTTATGAGGGATATGACTGAGAAAGAAACATATTAAATAAACCATAAAGAAATTGTTTTATTACTGCATGCAAGGTGTAATGTATAAAATACTGGTTTGGATTGTATTTACCCATAATGTAACTAGTTGCACTTCAGTGAATTTATTTGTTTGAACAATTAAAAGAATAAGACTCTCACTAAAATACAATATACATTTTATTCTATTTTTTATTTTTTTTATCTGGATGTAGATAAATATTATAGAGCTTTTTGATGTGGTAAAGATAATTTAAAGATATGTTTGCAATATTAAAATGAAATTTGATTTTGTAGTGATATAAAATTAAAAATTTCTAGACTGTTTATGAGGAAACCCACTTTACTGCTAGATAAACTATTATGGATCATAAATTTTCATTTGGTTTTATTTTTTTCTGTAAATAAAAAAGAGTTTTAAGATAATTTTTGATAATGCAAGAATTTGCATCATTTTATAATACATCAAGTACTAATGTATCAAGTTACTAGACCAAATACTACTGTAATATTATTTTGCTAATTAAATCTTACTAATGGATCATTATATTTATAAATATAAATTTTTAACTATGATACGTCAATAAAAAATATTAGCATGTTCTAGTTTCTTTTAATATCTAGTTCCTGTAAATATTGAATTTTTTTTTTTTAATTATTGGTTTTAATTTAAATTAAAAAACATTTATCTGAAAAAATGAAAGCTTTCATTTTCATACAAAAGAATCTATTTCTACTAAAAAATATTGAAAATTAATTATAACTGATAATGTTTTAATTTGCAACTTGACAGGCTTGCATCTATAATTCTGGAAAATGTGTCATAAAACCGATTTTCATATTTGCATACCCCCAGCAACAATTGCTTTATTAAAAACAATGATGTTTTATTTTTATACAGACATAATACAATCCCTCGTTTACACTTGTTTTGCATCAAGTACTTCATTCCAAGTAGTGTTAAGTTTGTTGACTCTTAATATTTACCATTGAATATCTGAAAAAGCAAGTTAAATTTTCTAAGCTCTCTCTCTCTTTGTTTTTGGGTGAATAATTTGATTGTTATTATAGGCAGAATATGATTATGAAGAAGTTGTGAGTGATTCATCTGATTATGTTCTCAACTTATCTGTAAAATCTGATGATAGTGATGTTCTCTCAAGGTATGTGTGCGAAATGTTTTGATAATACGAATTGTTAAGAATTCATATAATTTGAATACAAGTTTTATTTATCCATTTTTTCAATTTGGTTCATGTTTTAAGTTTTCAAGATAATTCTGACAGCATACACTCTGTGTTTCAATGAGGCGAGATAGTGTTTTTACTTCATTTTAGTATATTTAAAAATGACATGCCTCTTAAGTTTGATGGATGAGAAAATATTTGGTTGAATAATCTATGATTTCTTTATAATTAATATTGGCTAATTAATTTGGGTCAGGATTGTAAATTTTTTGGTGACAGGATATCCAAATGGAAAAAGTGCGCTAAGCAGCAGCGAAACCAAGAGGAATAAAACAAATGAGACAATGAAAAATTGAAAAAATATGACAATCAAGGCTGACGTCATCGGGGGTACCAGCCCTGATGACGTCATCCTTGATTGTCATATTTTTTCAATTTTTACTAATTTTTCTTCGTCTTAATTGAATCAAACTTATTATTAAATTCCTATATTTAATTCTCCCTTGGTAGATTCAGCAAAGAAATAGAACAAAAAGGGCAGGGGGGGGGAGAGTTATCAGTTTGTGGTGATCTTAGATTTTTATCATTAGCATTAATTTCACATTACAGCAAAATATAAGTATATACATATGTTCTGAATTAAGAGTAAAAATTTTTCAGAGTGAACAATTACTTCAATGTGCATCATTTTTAAGTCAGGTTGTAAGCTAACTTTTACGCTAATGTAAGCTAACCAGGTTGTAAGTTTACTCTCTGTTAACCTCAGAAATAATTACTCAGTGGTAATCTAGGCTCCTAAATAAGTGGATAATATGAATTTAACAGTATGTTTGCAATTAACTGTGTGTAACTTAATGTTTATTTTATATTGATTTTTTTCTTCTTCTTTTCTCTAGGTGACGAGAACCGAAACTTTGTTTGCATCCATTTTTTATTCATAATCATTGTTGAAGCAGGAATATAACTATTTTATGAGCTTTCAGTCTTGGAGAGAATGTATTAAAACTTGAACTACAAAATAAAACTTAAAACTTTTTGAATTTAGTTGCTCAAACAATTCAGGGAATATCAAAGAAGATTGTTGTTACTGGTTACCAAAGATTTATTGTGACAACAATTGTTATAATGTGCCAGTTCATTTCATATTGCTTTTACATTTTTTAGTATTTTTATTAGAACATCATTGTTGAAATGTGAAGTTATGTTCTTAAAACCAGAAATGACTTTAAAGTCCCAAAGGTGTTTCTTTTTTTTATGTTATTAACAATTTGTACAATAAAAATGTGATCCTGCCAGTCTTGTGGAAAAATTTTAATGACTTTTAGAAATTTGTTACTGTTTTTCTTAAGATTGCCTTACAAAAGTATATAAAAAGTGCCTTGTTCTGATACAAACTGAATTATCACTTGTTTTTAATTTTGAAAATATACAAATTACTTTTAAATACTGCCTTTGCACCTTCAATCAATCGTTAATTGATTAGTATAACTATTTTTGCATTTTTTTAAAACTGTTTGAAAATGAGAGCAATAAATCATTCTTAAATACAGTGATCTCAATGTTGTAAATGCCATTTAATTGCAGTGATACTTAAAAGAATGCGATGGCAAAAATCCAATACAAAGTAATATTTTATATCATATTTACCCTAAAGAAATATATGGTTAAGAAAATTATGGTAATTTTATGTTGGTTAGAAATATGTCTCTCCCAATGTAGCCATATATTTATCTTTTATAAGTTTTAATTAGAAAAAAATTGGTATTTCTGGCCCATATTAAGAATTATTTTGTTACAAATTTTATATTTTAAATAATTTTTATGTGCATTTTAAGGAAGAACAAAGTGACAGTGTAAAAATTATAAGAAACTTAAAAGCTTTCATGGAAATTTTTGTTTTGCTAAATCTATTCCTAAATAGAAGTGATAATCTGTTTCTGTTCACCATATATTGTTTCATTAAATTTTTATTCAATAGTTGTAAAAAATTTGCATAAATGGTTCCTGTTTAGCCAAATATTAAGCTGTACATAGATAAACAATTTTTTAAAAACAGTGGGAATTTGATGCAGTTTGTTTGATCATGATGTTATTTGGTAATTGAGAAAAATTTACATGTGTTAGATAATTTACTAATCAGCAAAATATTATGTTATACATTTACAAACAATATAATGGAATAAATGAGAATTTAAGAAATTTAAAAATTCATTTATGATTAGGTAGATTATAACCTAATCCTAATAAAATCTGTATTTACTCTTAATATTTCTTAAATTGATACAATTATGTATAATTAAAAAATTTATTAGTTATGACTACCGTGTCTTCCAATGTGTAAAATTGTTGATTTTTTACATTGTTATGTGATACGTTCAAAATTTTATATTAAATATATGTATCTTAATAAAAATTTGTACAGGTTTTCAAATATCTGTTTTTTGGAAAGTGACGCAAGAATATTGTAAATGTTTCATTTTATTAGATATAAATAAGATATCTTGATTACAATTCGATAAGTACTTATATTATTCGACTATAAAAAAAGGTGGAAAAACTCTTACATATATTTTCTATGGAAGAGCTGCGACCAGCTAATGTTACTATTGTTTATTGGCAATAATTCGTCACTACCATTTATTTAAAATGTAGAAGTAGTAGTAATGATTGTGGTCAATTTACGTGGTTTACTTTTTTTATAGCCCCTACACAGTGTCCTTGAATTGACATGTTTTCAATTTTATTAATGTATTCACTAATACTTTATAGTACTTGTTGAAGATGCTCTAGTTTTACAACCAGCCAAAATATACCTGCTTTTATAGGTGGTAAAAATGAAAGAATTTATTGATCAATATTTTGATACGAAACTGTTAATATTCTCTGAATCATTAGTTGTTAACAAATTATATAAAATTTATGTATATAAATATAAAAAGTGTTAATTAATATTAATTGTTCTGGGTTTAAATTTTTTTTTACCGATTTTGTCTTTTGTTTCTTATTATAAAGCGGCAAATTATATAAAAATCCTTAAGTGCCGCATACCAATAGTTTTTTTTCCTGAACCTTGATTTAGCTTTGTTTTCTAGTTTAGCTTTCAAATTTTTATATGTATTTCCTAAATAAATAAAAGTAATTGTAGTTAAATAAATAAATGCTAAATTTTTGAACTAAAGATGCTTTTTATGTTTAAAAAGCTTTTGTTTATATACATATTCTTTGAAGATATATATTTGTATTAAATTTTTTACTGACCTATTGACTATTTTAATAGAAATATTTTCCTTTTAAAACATTGAACCGTGTTTGCAGTCTTAAAAAATGTTCTATTAGTTGCAATTTGCTAATTTTTTTTCTTCTTTTTATTGCAATAATTGATTGAATGTAGTGTGATAGTCTGCTTCTTATCTTAACATTTTTCTATATTTTACCCTTAATAACAGTGTTCATTATCTTCTTTAATCAACTGTAGTTTCATCAAAATACGTTTCGATTGGTTGAAACAAGTTGCGCATTTATTGTTGATCATTCTATTTTTGTTACAATATTTTGTACAAACCTAATTATTTGAGATATGATCATTTTTCACTTATTACCCAAATTTCACGATGCTGTGATTATTAGAAATTTATAAAAGACATTTCTGACTGATTGCTCGTTAATGATTTCTAATCCTTTTGTGACCTGTTAAATTGCTGCATTAGTGAGCAAATGTGTCTTTTTATATTAGTGTGATGTCCTAATCATGATTTCTGCTTGTATGAGTGCCTTATATATAAAAAAAACATGTTTTAAAACAGTGATTTATACTTCGCACTTTGAAATGAATTTTTGTATATGAGATATTAGTAATTGTGCGATTCTATCGAAGTTTAGCCTGTTGTTTGAATGTTGTAACTTCTCAAATGTATGATGCATATATTTTTTTCTGTTACTATTGTTCTGATTTGATTAAAAAATGTTATAAATGTTGTATGCAGTCTCAGATTTCTTTGAAAGTGTAAATAATAAATATATTTTAACAGAAAAGGTTGTAAAATGTGCAGTTTAGAGTTGTTCAGAACTTTTTCTTTTTAAATATTTTGTTTATCTTTTATTTCCTTTTTTAATATTTTAAAATATATATCAACATTTCAACAGATTCCTACGTACAATAAGGAATCTAGCCTGATTTAATGGACTATCCTGGTTTTTACGTATATTAAAATAAAATTTTAAAAATTGGAAAGTATCTGAAAAAATCTTTATCATCAAAATAAATTTTTTAGTCAGCTTACTGCTTGCGTGATAATTTAAAAATAAAGTGTATATGTCATTTATAATAATATATTGGAATATTGTCCTTTAAAATTTATTATTTGTTTCAATTATAACCTCTTTGTTATTCGGAATACATTAACCTTAGAAAGTTAATATGTCATATCAATAAAAATTATAGACTAAATATAATCTTAATAAAAGTTATATTCTCGCCATATAATTTTCCCAAGTCATCTCATCTGCTGGACTTAATTACCATAACTGTATTAGGTTTTTTAAAATTCATTGTCTTAATCAAAAGTTATATTTTAATTTTTTTTTTCTTGACCGTAAAAAAAAAATTACTTATTTTCGTCTGATTTATTCTTTGCTCATATAGAAATTATGGTCTTGATAAGATAAAGTTTTATATGGTTGAAATTTTCTTTCCATACTTCAGTGTTTCGATTTGAACTGTCGTCTTAATCGAAAGTATACTTCAGCAATATTTATTCCATTGTTAGCAATGGTTCCCCCATATTAAAGCTGAAATGCTCAAAACCATCTTTTATTTCAAGTGGTAGAGAGTCTTGTTACTTCCAGGAATTGAGTGTTTTCTTCATTGACAATTAACCAAGGTTTTTTGTTACTCATTGGCTGCTAATGTTTTTACTTAAATTATTTTATTTAATCGCCATAGCACTGTACTTAAATAATTGAGAATAACAGGCCAAATAATCGCGAAGATAATCTTATATTTGCAGGGTTGCCACAGGCGACTGAAATGCAACTATTTTGTGGCAACTTTTTTTGCCTGAAAAGGCTAAAAAAGCAACTCTTTTTCAGGAAAATGAGACTTTTCTGTGCTCCTAGCAAAGTTTTTTTTTAGCATAAATTGGGTTGAAAACCTGCAGCCTGAATTTATTTTCTTAAAACATTAAAAATGTAAAATAAAATTCAAAAAAATTAAAAATTTTAGATCGCAAATTTGAGTTATCACTTTTTAATGCGTTCAATTTGCACTGATTCTATCGTAAGTTTTTTTCGTTTCTCGATCGCCTTTTCAACAGTTTTTGCACGATTTTGAATACGATATTACGATACGTGAATTTTGAATTTGAGTAATCACTTTTCACAATATTCGCTAAATTAAATTTGATAAAAGGGAAAATTTCTTCGAATAAGTGTTTTTTTTTTTAATGAAAAAGTATTTAATTTTCTGCAAATATACTAATTTTTTTACATAAAATTTTAGTACTAGAACATTAACGTTTATATAAAAATTATCATATTTGCCACCAACTTGACTAAATGGATCATGGTATATGACGGTGACCAACCTGTGGCTCTCGATAAATGCACCAGAGTTTCCTTTTAATTTTGTGCTATTATATTTTAAAAAATTAAATTGTTATCATTCCGTATGTGTTTCAAAATGTCTTACATTACTCGCAAACACTGAATTTACAATTGCAGGGAAAAGATAAAATAATATCTTGACTTCTCACAGTGTATATTTAGTTTTCAAACTAAATTACAATTTTTTCAAAAGGTCATTAAAAATAAAACATTTTGTCATTTTCCTCGACGAATATATAAAAAAGTTAGAAGGAATATTGACGGAAGATTTTTTTTTTTTTGGAATCCGTTTGAAATTATCATAATTCAAGGTGACTTTCCACTTACAATATAATTATGACCCAAAAAACATCTGGAGAATTAGAATTAATAGAGATGCAAGATGATCAAGCTCTACAATTAAAATATAAGTCGATATCGATTACCGAATTTTAGAAATTTGTACCCTGAATCGAAGTATCCTGAATTAAAAAAGGCTGCTTGTCGAATTTTAAAGAATTATCAGGAGGAAGGAAAAAAAAGTGTTTAATTTTTTATATTTAAATTCAATACACATATTTTGTACTTTTAATTATGTTTTCAATAAATATAATTTCTGTGAAAAAAAAAATTAAATACCCTTTTTGCTTTCCTTTTAATAGCGGCTCGCGAAAAATTTCGAAGTTAAAAAAATGGCCCGACTATTAAGGAGCTTGGTCACCCCTGGCATATGACAAGTAATTTAATAAAATTTTAGTCTTATTTTTGTTCTTTTTTAGGCAACTATTTTCATGCTTTAGGCTACTAAAAGCAACTATTTTGTTATTTTTTTTGTGGCAACCCTGTATTTGCTCAGGAATTGTGATGGCTATCTTTAAAAATGTGTTCTTATTAAGTAGTTTTTTTTAAAAAAAAACTTTCTTTTGAATGGTTAAGCTGAATACGCGTTTCTAAGACTTTTTCTTTAATATTTTCTGATTTAGTTTTCCTCTGTAGCTTCTCTGAAAAATACCACATGGCCCTTGTGTTATGGCATGTCATACTGACAGTGGTCTGACACTCGCAAAAAAATGACCTAAAAGTTGTTGCAAATTCAACCCCCCCTCCTGATCTTAACTATTTATGAGGTTAATAGAACAATGATAAAACAAAGAAAATTTTGTGTTTGTCTTGCTGAACTTATACTTTTTTTTTTTTTTACCATCATGAATAACAGGAAAACCAGACTGTAATATGTTAAGAAATTTTTATAAAATTATTCTCCTCAGGAGCGGAACCAGAAATTTTTCCCGGGGAGGGTCATAGACTCAGATACTCCCCCCCCCACAATTAATTTTTTATAAAAAGATTTTTTTTTAAATTTTCTTTTCGAAAAAAAAAACTGGGGTTTTTAATGCTAGTCTTCTAATTTATTTTTTTCATAATGAACAATACATAAATAATTCAAGTGTTCAAAATCTTTAAAGAATAAATGTAATGCGTTTTTTTAGAAACTTTGGCAAGTACAATCTTTGGTTAAACCTATTGAAGCGCGCTTCAACATTATTTATGTTTACAATCAAACTATGACGAATTTTGTTTTAATCTTTTGGATTATGATTCTTGAAACAGTGAAGAGCATAATTAGATGGGGGGAAAATCGATTTTTCCGACCTACCTTGTTGTATATACCCCCTTAAATAACTTTTAAAATATTTTATTTCTTTTGTAAACTATTAAAAAATTATTATTATTTTTTTTTTCTATTTTTTTTTGGGGGGGGGCATGACCCCCCGCTGGATCCGCCACTGATTCTGCTTGCGTACATTCATTTATGTTAAGTAAACTTAGTTGCGCCTACAGTGTTCTCGAAATGTAAATAGAACAATCTAATAACAAATAAATAAAAAAATTCTTGTTTTTTTTATACTTAACTGACTGTTTTAAAATACTGTATTGGCGGGAACTATGGATAAACCTAAAACTGGTATTAACTTTTTGGAAATTATAACAAAATTCATTTTTTACATAAATTTATCTCTTTTCTTGTTAAAATATTGTGTTTAACGAATGCAAATACATAAGTAGTTACTCATATGAACTTCTCAAACGCGTGTTTTCTTGATTTTTGTTAACTTTCTTAATTTAAAAAAATATTGTTCACCTATGACGGCTACAAAATTGCTTTTTTCTTGCAAAGGAAGGCAAATACGATGATAAACAATTAGCTACGCATATGGGCACCAATAAATATTAAAAATAAAAATTTAAAAGTGTTCAAGTATTTGACTAAGGTTTCAACTGTGCCGTTAAAATTCGTATATTTTTAAGGGGACTATAATAATTGATAGTGGAGTTAATGGAAAGCAAATAAGTTAGTGTTAAGAGTTTAAAAGATAGTTTAATCTGAAAAAAAAAATACTTATTTTTATGTAAGTATGTAATTTTTTTTATTCAAAACATGAACTTGATTAATTTTGTTTAAAAACAATGTACTTCTGATGCTGATAGAATAATAACTTGATTAAAAGACTAATTTCCTATAGAAAAATCTGAAAGTATGCAAATACTAGTTAAATTTGATTCTCGTTCAGTAGTCTAGAAAAATATGTTTAAAGGAAAATATTTAAATTTATTTCATTAAAATTATTTTTAAATAAATTTTTATAAATTGATATCTTTGAACCATGAATCCCAAAAATAAATACTCATTTATCCAAGTGTTAAGATAATATAGTTTGGTTAAGATAGTAATAGTTTGGTTAAGATAGTAATAGTTTGGTATTATATCGTCAATATAATCGCACATAGGATTAACCACATGAATTTTGCAAATTTGTCTAGAATTACGAAATATACCATTTATCAAAACGCTTAGGTTTTTTTCACAGCTTTTTTTATTTCTTTATTTTTAATTCAGACCACTGTAGTGCGCCGTGAGTTGACAGTTATATATAATAAAATGTGTGTTTGTTAATTAGGAGAAACTAAGGGAAAATTCGTGGAATTTCAACAAGTTCAGTATCGTAGTCGTATATAACAACTCCAAACGACATAGTTTTTTTTCATTTTTTATTAAAAATTGATTTTGATTTCAAAATTTACATTATTTCAACGTATTTTCCCACTTGTTTTGTATTATGAAGTTAATTTGTGCAGTGAACGGATGAAATAATATGAATATCGAAATAAATAAATTGCGAGTTTCTCTAAAAGGAAACAAAAGCAAGCAATACTAAAAATAAATTAAAGCTTATAAAATATAGTTGTCTTCGTCCAACACTTCCTGTTATGATGCTACTGATACAGATAATTTTCTTTTCAACGAAGCGACGTGTCCTTCTGTAGACATTAAGATTTTTACGTAGATATTCATTTAATGTAATGCTACACCTCTCAACGAAAGCTATACAATGTCTTGTCTCAATACTTGACTTCAAACTTCTTTTGTCTTCTGAGTTTGATTTTAAATTATAAAACGAGTTGAAAGTAACAAAATGAATTGATATGTTCTTTAAAATTGTTGATTTATGTTACGGAATTGAAATATATTATTTAGCAGAATATGACCAAGATCTGAGTGATAACTTTTTTATTACGAAAATTTTGTTTTGAATATAGTTAATAACTGGCGTCTTATTAATTATGAATTTTAATTAATTTTTTTAACTGCCCATTGGAGTAATGCCCACAATATTGTAAAGGTCACAACTGATCAGAAAAGTGATGACTGATATTGCGAGTGAATTTCTCTTGTAGGCGCATTTTAATCTCTGTCAACACTGCAACAGTTGCTACGAGACAGGAAGTCAATAACGAAGGAAATGAAATAAAAATTATAAGATTACTTATAAGTGAATTAAGAAGAAAGGGGCTGAATCAAAGTAACAAAAACTGAATAATATTTATATAATACTATTCTTTTATAATGTCTAAAAACTTAACTTGATAATTTAACAATATCGGTCATAAAAACTATAATTTTAATTATTCATGCATATTGTTATCGCTCAAAGAAAATGAAAGGTTTTGGAGTTTGTATTGTCTGATAAGACTAGGGGAGAGTTCGGCTTTTAAAATCAATATTAGTTTGCAATTACCACTATTCCTTGAACAGCTGCGCAAGAATAAACAATTTTTAAAATTTTGGTTCAAAATAAAACACATTTTTAGGGCCGACTAAGAAAAGGTTTTTATTATGATGTATATGTAACATACAGAATTGACGTGCACTATGCTAATGGTACGCAATATGAAAAAAAAAATTAAAATCAATATTTATTGTAATTAATTGAAAACAGGAATTAATAAATCGTCAAAATGAACGAATTGCGCTATATTTCATGAATCGGTGCTCATTGTTATAATTGAGTATAAAAAATAATTACTGTATTTTAAAATTGTATGTAAAATTTCACATGAATGAATAAAATAAATTTTTTGCTTCCATTATGCCAAATAAAATCATAATACGTTATTCATTGGAGAAATAAAATATAGATTTATATTTTAGTGTTAGTACATTTCAAAGTTTTTGTTTTTTTAAATAAATAAAAAATCTAAAATTCTCCGCTCTTTTTTTTCTTCTTTCAAGTAGTTGCTTAGGTTTGCCTTCTAGAAGGTCCAGCTCTGTATAAGTTTATGTAATAAATATAATTGAAATTTTATATTAAAATATAAAAGACCTTATACTTATGTTTAATAACAAATCGTTGATGTACGTATTTATTTAGATGCATAAACAATCAAGATTTTATAAAGAAAAAGAGCGAAAAAAGTAACGTGTTAAGACATGGGAGGGCAAAAATTAATAAATACGTAATAGCGATATATTTTGAATGGAATTATAGCTTTGTTACAAACTTACAATAACTATTATTCGAACTTTAAAAGTTATTGTTTTTTAATAATAGAAAAAAATATTTACAACTACGTCATTCTGACTGCTTACATTATTAATGGCATATAAAATATGTAACCTTTAGAATGCCATATAAAATATGTAGCCTTTAGAATGATCAACTACGGGTCACGAAAAATGCTTCTCTAAAGGTGATTATTATTTATTTATTACTATGTATTATTATTTTTATATTTATTTCAAAATCCTTTCATATTTCGGTTTATTCCTTTTATTTACAAAAAAAAAAAAAAAAAATGGTAAAATCATATTCTAATTTAATTAAGTAGGCATTTAGGATTAAAGATTAATTTGTTAAATTATTAGTTTAAATCGAAACAATTTGAACAATTAGTACCTAAAAACTAGAAAATTGTTCATAAAAACTCTGCATTAGTTGTATAAAATGTTTTTGTAAAGCAAGTGTTTTTAACGATGTCTATAAAAAATACAGGTAATAAATTTGATAAAAATAAATAAGATATTTGTTGAATTAAATTTCAACCGAATTCTTCAAAATTCGAAACTTAGTTTAAAATATCAATGCTCTAACTGCAACATGTAATAAACAATATTAATCAATATCTATTTATACTTAAAACCATTTTTTTTTAAATTTTTAATTTCGAAAATTAATTTTCTCTCCCAATTTGACTCTCTGCGTAATAAGTATTTAATAGGACCTTTTATTAGAAAACCGAGTTGGAAAAACGCGCTTTATAAAAAAATAAATAAATAATCCAGTTAGGAGAAAATAAAATATTTCACCTCGCTTTATTTTAACGCAAACACAGCGCAATCTTTTAGAATGTTATTTATTTTTATGGAAACGATTCTCTTCACGCTCTTGCTATGATCGATTCTATTTGTTTCCTTTTCCAGTTAGCATGTGAAGTTCTACCACTTTATTAAATATAGTTCTTAGTAAAAATTATTCTAATCGAAGGCAGACAAAGATATTATTTAAAATTCAGATTAGATTCTCGTTCAATTTCACGTTCTCTCCCTTTCGTTCGATAACCTTGATGGAGTAGTTTTTTATACTGATAAGCTAGTAGAGTAGTAGATGATATTCTTCCGCCTGAAACGGGACTTTTCCCTCTAGGTATGTTTTGACTTTTTTGAGAGTGAGTCTTGCCAATTTCAATTTCAAACAGCGTAAAAGCACGTTGTCTGTGAGAAAAAGAAATATCTCTATCGGTTTACACACGGCATACGAAGTAATTATCATTACTATATATTTCTTTTTTTTATCATATTTTTAATTCAATGTATAATTTCATTTTAATATGCGGTTATCTGTTCTTTTTTATGAATTAAAAGTGAATTTATTGATGATTATTCACTCTTTAATTTTAATATGCTGTTATCTGTTAATTTTTATGAATTGAAAGTGAATTTATTGATGAATTGGATTTTGTAGGATTATACTAATTATTTATAGGATTATTAATAATATTTTATAATATTGCTATTCAAACCCGTAGCCAGTATTTCTATCCTCAGGGGGGGAGGGGGTATTAGATGTCCTCACCATTAATAGGAGTATCATATATTTATTAATTAATAACATTTTGGTTTAGATTTATTTTTATATGTATGATATATCATCTATATTTGTTTATTTAATATTAATATAAATAATTATAGTAATTAGTATATACAATTTAGATTAAGAAGTATAAAAACTTGTCAATGGGAGGACCTGGGATTTGAATCCCATTGGCGGCTTGTAGCCGAACCAGCTTCGGATTGATGGTTTAGAAAATTTCTTGGAAGTAAAGGTGGGTAATGCGCAATGCTAACCGTAACGAAATTTGCGGAGTTTTACATTCATAACCCCCACTCTCCCATATCGGCTGTTGCGGGAATGCTTTAGTATAAATAATAACTTTATTTCAAAAAATTAATTTGTTTTGATTATCTTCTAGGGACAAATGCCCCCTCTCACATTAATTTCTCGGGCCTGTAGGAATTGATTGGATATGATAAAAATAGTTAAAATCAACAACAAAAATAAATAGATGATGCAATATTTTTCTTGATAAATGTATTAATTATTATTATCACATATTTCATTTAAGTGAGTGCATTATTAGGGGAAATTATTTTGCTTATTTTATTGTTATAATTTTTATTCTTTCTAATTTTTTTTACACATTTTAAAGGAATATATTAATGAATTGGGTATTATTAGGTTATTTATATTGCGGGTTGCATTTGATTGCATATGCAAAAAAATATTTAAAAAAAAATTAAAACAGTTGATTGAACAGAAAATAAACCAATGATAATTTCTGACGATTGTTTTTTTTTATTCAATATATTCTATTTATTTTCAATGGTATGTTATTTATTTATTTCGTTTTTTTTTATTTAAGTTAAAAGTAAATCCATTGATGGAATGGATATTATTAGATCATTTAAATTGAAGCTAGAAATTAATTGGTTATGGGTTTAAATAATAATCGTTAGAATTAGCTAAAATTAAATAGTTCATTAATTGCTTTTATGATTTGTTCAATATATTAAATATAAATAATTTATTTTTTATTCGTTATAAGAAGTTGTGCTTGTGAAGTTAAGAGTGGCCTATAATATAAAAAGTACTTAAATGACCACTAAGCAGTTACGAGTATTGCAAAACTTCAGCTGCAAGGACTCTATTGCAGCAAAACAAAAAAACAAAAAAAGTACGAAATCCGTTTTTAATGTGTTTTTCTCTCCAGTCTTTTGAATAAAAAGAGCCCCGGCAGCAGGGTGCACTTGCCCCCCTCCTGTTTTTTTTTTTTTTTTTTTAAATAAGTTTAATCAAATAAGAATTGTAATCGTCTTGTTTGCTGTTCAAATCTGTTTATAACTTTTCCAATGAATTCTGAGTCATCTTTGATTCTTTTCTTATGCACACTGAGCACTTGGCAGATATCTAAGCTATATTTTTAAATTTCATTTAATAAAATATAAATAATAATATATTTTCTATTAGTTATTTTGTTTAACAAGGGTGTATAACACAAACTGACTTCTCACAACTGTAAAACTTCATCAACACAATAAATACCAATGTTAAGCGTGCACAAACACGTTAGTATACGAAACTACTGTTTGTAGTTATTTGTGTTTCAATGCCAGCGCCATCAATACAGTTTCTAGTGGCAAAATTAGCAGGTACAAGAAATTCATACTTTTTTTTAAATATCTTGTTAACAATGAAGAAATATATCTTGAAAAAAAATTAACAGATGAAAGTTTATGTAATAACAAAACAAAATGTAATAAAAAAATAATAGAAAAAAATTTTTTTTGAGGGGGGGGTTAGTTTTTTAGAGGGTTGCACCCCCTTTTATATTATTCTGCCGGGCCCCCTGGGTAGAAATCGTATTGTTTTGCAGGAAGGATTGCAGATCGTACTCTAAATGGATTGTTTCTATGCCAGACATAATTTTACAAAAATTAAAACTTTGGAATCTTACACATTTTGATATTTCAATGACCATATAAAAAAAACCCCAATAGGGATGAAAAAAGTAAAAATAATAAAAATTATTGTAATCTTTGCGGAATAGGCCATAATATGCATATGCAATTGTAGAATTAGTCGATTAGTTAGTTGACTGATAACAATAAATGCGTGCAGACAGCGGTGTATCGCATGACAATCAGCTTTTAAATTCAACTTCTCCAAAATCAACACTGGTAAACGCAGTAGAGGTTGAAGGTAGAGGAATAGGGGGGGGGGGGNGGGGGGGGGGGGGAAAGGAGATATCTAGAGTTTTGTGAATTGTTGAAAAAGAATTAATCAATAGGAATTGAAACAAGTTTCATTTGACATTTTTTTTATAGATTCATTTGTCATAAAATGCGCTCTTAATGCAAATAGGAAATTTAATTTTGTCAAATGAACTACTATTATTTTCAGATTATTTTTTAAATGAATCGTTTCTTATACCTATTATTTATACCGTACATCTAAATTTACCATCTAATACCATGTATACTTACATTACAGTATGGTACTAACAGGGTGTTTCGTAATCATCGCCTTTAATACATCGTTTTAAAATCTTTGTCAAAAATTAAGTATATAAAAAAAGTTTTTTTTTTAAGAATCATAAATTAAAATATTATCGAGGAAAAAACAAAAACGTTTTTGAAGAAATCTGATGAGTTACTATCGAGGAAAGTTTGATGAAAAACATCAAAATCAGTTAGATTGTGTGACAAAACTAAACTTGTAGTTGTTGCAACTGCCTTAAAACCCCTCTGTTCTGTTTATCTCATTCGGCATGCTAGCAGGTTTCGAAGTCAGTTCCCCGCTTTCCTCAGTTGAGATTCTTAGATGACGGAAAGGTGCCGTGCAATAGTGACTTAGTAATAAAAAATTGAATAAATTGTATATCAATATATAGTTTTTGTTGCATGTAGGCTAAAAAAGATTTTTTATTTTTATAAAATGGCATATTGAGTAATAAATGTGTTGAAAACATAGTTTAACTTTTAAATAATAAAAAAACGCAAAATATAACGCAAATTGATAAATGAACACATTACATTGATATACACACAAAGATAAAATACGTTACATCGTTTGCGTTTATGTAAGTTTAATTTAATAATTTCTCGAGAAAGTTCTGGAATGCACATTGTAAAGCTGCTTGAAAACAAGCAAATACTAGTTAGAAATTTATAAAACTAGTGGGCTGCGCCCCCTGCTCGCTAACGCTCGCCAACCCCCGAAAATTGCTACGCAATCTTATACGGTTTGCTTCGCAAACCAAGCTCGCTTCGCTCTCTACTAACTTAGGTACATTGCAAATGCACAAAATTCTAAGAATTCAAAACAATCATTCAAATCCATATAAAAACTTTTCTTTAAAAAAGAAAAGTACATCTTTTTAGTAAATACTAAGTCATTAAAATAAATTTGAATGCAAATAAATGACATGTAATTCGTTAAACCTATTCGAAATGTGCTATAGTATAATTCGTGATATAAATCAAAAATCGTCAAATAAATTCGTAATATATAAATTCGTGAAAAAAAGCGCTTTCGACAAAATAATAAAATAGAGATCTATCGACAAAGACTTCTGCCTAGCTTAATAGTATGAGATTGCCGCAGCTGATGCTCTCTGGTTATTTCAGTTTCCGTTTTTAAAAGCGCTATATGTTAAGCCACCTCAGCTAGATTTGGCATGTGACATTTTTAGCGGCAATCATTGGTCGATTTTCTAGCGTTGCCATTCGGGGAGTTGTAATGAGGCTTTTTTTTGTCGCCGTGTAAGAGAAATAGTAACGTAAACAAAACAAAGCAAACGTTGTCACCGGCGGAAAAGAAATACAGCTAAAATTTGGGAGCCACGTAAGAGAATTATATATATTAGATGATGAAATTTAATTTATGCACTGAATTTCAGGGCTGTCTAACTTTATACGCTTTTGTAAAAAATGTCTTCTAATGGTAGCTAAATGAATGGTTTAATTAATGTATGATTCTTTGCTTTGCATATTTCATTTAAAGTTATTTTCCGCGCTACTACATATAAATCATTAAAAAAAATCACATGAAACGCCACTTTCTTCCAACTTTCACGTGGTAAAGTTTTTAAAATGTTGTTAAAATTACCAAAAGTTCTGAAAGCTTTAGTTTTTAATTGTATACCACTTAACAAAATATTTTGCGAAAAGCGTATTAGTTGGCAGCCCTAAAATTTCACACTATCCCAATGCTCTTCCCTGTATAAATACAGTTCATATTATATCGAATTTGCAGATGCCTAAGCGTGGACGCAAATTCATCACCGAATTTTTAGTCCCTAATCTTAATGAGGAAACATTCGGAGCGAGACTCGCATGGGTGGACTATGCAAGCTCAATTTTTCAAATTCAGTGGAATCATAAGGCTGCCTCAGCATGGAAGGAAGAAGACTGTCAAGTATTCATGGTAAGATATCTTATTTAATGTAAACTTTCTTTTGTTAACGAGTTTCAGTATCTAACCTAGTTAGGAAGGGTGTTGCGTCAATTCGTCGGGCTAGCCATGGGAGGTTTTCGTGATTACCCTCTCATGTAACGTTTATGCGGGTGAGTTCAAACCAAAAAATCCTCCACGAAGCCCAGTGTGCCGAATGCTTCACCATTCATGAGTTCCATGAGTTTGGTTCAAAATTACAAGACTACGGAGTTGAACATTGATTGTAATCTCAAAATTGGGCCGGCTGCCAAACGTCTGTTATAATATAATATGCTTGCAAAAGACACTAAATTCAAACAGAATGTTGTGGTTAGTCCTTAACGTTCAGCGTAATAATTTCGTGAAAAAGATATAAATTGGTTAAATAAATAATCCTCAGAAGCTGAAGCGGTAAGATATTACCTGATGAGAAACTTCATTTGTTTCAAAAATATATCAATAGGAAATTACAATCGTCAGGTTTCAAGCCCTCAATTTTCAAGACATGTGAATGAAAAGAATTAAAATTGATTTAAAATATTTGCCAACTAAAACTGGAAAAATTAAGGTTTGTAACAAAATTAAGAAAAACCACAGTAGCCGAGAGAGAATAAAAGATAAAAAAAAATCGAACAAGAAAAATCCCAGTGGCCGAGAGGGGCAAATCTGGGTAAAATACATTTCCACGCGCATTGCAGTGGCGGTGAGGAGCTAATGTTATTAGCAAGGGAATCACCATTCATATGAATCTGAAGACGGACATTACAGGCTTTTCATTGCGGAAACTATGCGGGTCTGTGCGGAGGAAACTAAATGTCTATGCGGAATTAGTATATGAGGAGAATAAAAGTTTCAAACATAAACCTTTCAAACAAAATTCAAAACTCAACTGTCTAAATATTTTTTTTTCTTTATCTAAAGATCGAACTTTTACGCACTGCAACAATGCTATCTAAATGATTCAAGGGACGACATATTAAGATGAATCCGCTATTAGACTAGTCTCCAAGTCCCCACGGAATTCCTAATATACAGAAAATTCTAAAGATACAGAAAATTATTTATACAGGTAAATCTTTCCAACAAAAGAAAAATTCCGCTTTTTTTGAAAATTTTGCGTTCGATAAAAAAATGCCCCTACAAAAAAAGAATCAAAAAGCGAACACTGTTTCCTCCACGGAGGGTAAATCTTCCCAACGTAAGAAAAATTCCGCTTTTTTTGAAAATTTTGAGTTCGATAGAAAGAATGCCCCCGTTTGTGTATCATGCTCCCTTATTTCCTTAAATGACTACTTACTATAGTAAAATAAGCATTTACTGTTGCAGTGTTCTCCCCTCTATGGTTCTCCCTAGCGTTTTTAGAAGGGCGGTCCTCCCTTTGATCCCTATAAATGCGCCCTGTTTGCCCTTTTTGTAAAAATAAGCAGTCATCACTTAAAAACACTGCCTTTTTATTTACATTCCATTCTTAAAAGAAAATAATTCCCTGTTTAAATAATAAGCTGGTAAAATTATATGTGTTTGTAGGCTTAATTCTGATTACCAATATTAATTTGTTAGGATTATTTTCAACTCATTAAATTTTTGTAAATATCTCTTTTTTCAAGGGTGTTAATAACTTTTTTAATGGTTTCAAAATTATTTTTAAAATAAATAACTTTCTTTTAAAAAAATGCAATTTTAAATGCTTATTTGATCATAATTTTCAGCTTAAATTAAATGAAATTCTCTCAAGTGTATCAATTAATATTTTTTTTTTTAGTTTACTTTTTTGAAAGAAAAAAAATTATGTCCATTGTCGATTAGCATGTCTTTTATTATTTTTATAAATTACAAATTTTTCTCTCATTCTGATAATGAGAGAGAATTATTTTTGAAATATATTCATAAAACAGTATAAGAGGGTAATTTAAAAATTTTTGAGCATCTTAAAATTTTAAAATTTTTTTACATAATATTACATATTTTGATATTTTTTTAAAGTGCCCTTTCAAAACTTTAAGTGCTTTCAAAACTTTAATGAGTGCCCTTTCAAAACTTAAAGTGCCTTTTCTGAGAGGCAGCGCCCTGCCCTTTTTTATTCCTTGGGAGAACTCTACTGTTATCAATGACGTCAAAATTATTTATTTCCCTTTTACAATAACGATTTGGAAACTTGTTGGAACATTTCTGTTTTAGAAATTTTTTCCTTTTTATAAAATATTGAGCTGCGTAATTCAGTTCAGAATCTGTCGACAAAAATATTCTTACTCTAGTTATATATTTTAAATCAAAATAGTTGTTCATAATAAAAGAAGAAAAATTTCGTTGAATATTCTTTTTTTAGAGAAACAAATTGATTTTTAAGATGGATTCATATTTTTGTCTCAACTTGAAAGGAGTGGCCACAAAGGTCTGGTCCAAATAGTTAAACTAAAGCCCATTACTGTTATTTTACTTTTTTCATCTATCATCGTATCTCTAAAACTATAACAGAAAATCAAAAAATATTACCTCAGAACTAATAAAAATCATTTGTTTAAAAGTAATTTTTAATAATTATTTAATTACTTGAAACATTGACTAGTAAAGAAAGAAAATTTACATCGCAAAATGATTCTTTCCTTATTCAAATCCTTTCTTAAAAATTCCTGAAAAATATTTTACTAATTAAATTATAAATAACGTTGGAAATTTTTACCGTTTTCAAATTAGCACTCTTTATTTTCAATGATTCTTAGCACTTATTATTTTCAAAATTTCACACTACGTTTTTTTATCATTTATAAACTATTTGGTTTTCTTCATTAAATTATTGAGACTTACCAGCCGTTGCAGCGTTATAAAAATAAAAAAAATGGTAAAAGATTTATGATAATTTTCGCCGAATTTTGGGTGGAATGAGAAATTTTAACTACCAGAGCATGCTAACAATTTAAGTTAAAATATCTTGTTCTGAAACTTAAAATAATTATTAAACTTAAGTGAAATGTAAAAAGGGTCCGTTCAAATATTACAACAAAAATGTTTTTGAGAATTTTCAGCTAAATAAAAAAAAAAAAAAAAAATTACAAGCCCTTTTCCATAGAGCCGTGGTGGCTTAGGGAATAGAGCCCTCACTTCTTCACAATGAAGTGGCCCGGGTTCCAATCCCAGCGATGACTGGCCGATACGAATTCCATATTCAGCTCGCACTGACCACAGTGCTGACGAAAAAATATCCCCAGTGATAGACGAATCATGGGTTTGAGTCCCCTTACCGTCAGGCTAACCGTGGGTCGTTTTCGCGGTTTTCCTCTCATGTAACGTAAATGCGGGTGAGTTCCATTAAAACGTCCTCCACGTAGGCAAATTTTTCCCTATGCGTCTTCCTAGAGTTCCCTTGTCTTCTATATTGGTTTCCAAATTACAAGGCTTCGGAGTTGAACATAGGCAGCGGTAAACTCAAAATTGGGTCGGCTGTTCAATGTCGATTATAAAATAAATCCCCTTCCTTAGAACCGTGTTGGCTCATGCGACCGAGCGCTCGTCTCCCAATGTGGTGACCGGGTTCGAATCCCAGTCGTGGCTGATCGATACGAATTCCTAACTAGAAATTATGCTCTCGACGAGTTGTACCTACTACGAAATGTGCCCGCGTTGTTTTGTCGTTGTAACGAGTTGAGCCTACGACGAATTGTCGTTTCGACGAGTTGTACCTTCGACGAATTGTCACCGATACGAATAGTGCTCGTGACTAATTGTGCCCGCGATAAATTGTCTTTGTCCCAAGATAACCAAAATTCGAACTTATGATAGTTTTTATTAAACTGAATTACGCGGCGCGAACAAAAAAATAATTAACGTAAACGTAACGTAAAAGTTAACTTAAAAATAAATGTTCTCTTATTTTTATTAGGTTTAGAAATAAAAAATGAAAATTCTGATCGAGAACACATTATTTCGATTCCTTCTTCATTTATTTATTCTTTTTATATTTTTCTGGAATTAAATATGTTTAAAGTATTAAACGCAACCTGAAAGAAAAGAAAATTAAAACTGAATTAGATCAAAATTAAAAAAAAAAAAAAAGAAAGAAAGTACAATTTGCTAAATTTGAAATTCAGATCAGGAAATTTTTTAAAGTAATATTTACTTTTTTTATTGCATAAGTGGTTAGATATTATAATTTTAGTTACTATAAATTACGTGTAGGTTATTTTGTATGCATTAAAGAGATAAAACCATTATTTATTTTTACAATTCCAGACGTGGAACAATTAAGAGCTTGACAACAATTAAGGAGGATACTGACAAGTCCCTTTTTCAAATTGTTTAAAAAAAATTTAAAAAAAAAACGCTTTTGGGGTAAAATACCATTATTTCCATATCAGTAATAATCTTTTACTGAGCATTATACTGTGCTGTTATTTATTGGAAATTGTGGATACTTGAAAAGTACCTATCTGGAAACAACACATATGAGCAGTTTGACTAAAAATGTTAAATTCCGAAATAATATGGCTGATTATTATATTGCTTTTCACTTGTTGCTTCAAGCGTCTCTAAAGTATTAAAATACTGTTCCAAACAACACCAAATTTGTAAAACTGGTATTCTAAGCTGCACCATGTGCAAAATTGTTTAACATGCACTGAAAATTGCTGCTTCAAAACATCAAGTATCAAAAATGTTGCATTTGTACCATTTAAATATCAGTCCTAAATTTGAATATGCTTACAATTAAAAAAAATTATTAAGAATAATTCCTTTCACTGAATTATAGATTTTTTTTACTTTATTTTATAGGAATGGGATAAAAAACGAGGTCATTACAGGCCAGAGGAGAAAGAATATTTTACTAAAAGCAAACAAAGATTTAGAGCTGTTTTGAATAAGTCAATTCAAGATAACGAAATAACGCAGTTACACTCAGAAGATAAAACAATTAAAATATATTTCTTAGGTATGAACCTCAATATGATTTCTAAAATAAATTATTTTTATTTTGTGTACATGTTGTGTTAATTTAACAAATGTTTGCAGGACCACCAGAAGCTGCTCCATTTGATTTAAAGTTTGATATTTTAAAAGACGCTGTGGATGAAAAAAATATTATCCTAACAAATTATTTAGGTAAGTTTTTGATTAAACAAAACATTTCTGTTAATTTAACTATCAATTTTAAAATAAAAAACAATCTGGCAAAAGTTAATATGTAAGTTGTTTAAAGCGTTTCCACAACATCCTGTTATGAGCCAGAAGGTTCATGAAGCTAAGGTTCCATAATTTCATGACCAAGGGCATGATGGTGGTTGTTTAACTGCCTTTACTTCAAAGACAAACCAGTACACATCAATCTGATAGGTGCATTGCCACTGTGGATCAAATCTTGATGATGACTTACAATGAAAGTGCTTTAATCACTGATTCTTCGCTGCTCGTGTAAATATTATGACATGTATCATTTAAAAATAAGTTATTGAATAATATTTGATGAAAACATAATAATCACTATGTACTGTAATTAGAGTTGGGTACTGATTCGAATCATCAACTTGCAACTGATGCGAATCAGTTGTTTTTATCTAAATAGATTTAAATTAAAATTAATTATTGTTTCTTAAATTTCAGTTAGTTTTGTTTCACAGTGATACTTTGCCTTATACATTTAATAAAATTTTCTTTTAAAACCTAAGAGATTCATTATTAGGAATTAAGATTTTTTCCAATTAAAGAACTTGAAGAATTCAGATAAAAAAATAGAAACATTTCTTTTGTAGATTAAATTTAACATAGTTAACAGCCTTTATAGCAATTAGCAATATATACAATATAATTAATTATACAAAAGATTTAATAAGTATATTTATTTACTTAAAAGAATTCATTAATGAGAAAGAATAATAATTTTTTTTTCGATCAACATTAGTTAAAAGAAAAATTGTGATAATAGTAAACTTTTTTCAAATTTTTTGCAATTTCAAATTTTTTGAAGCATTTGATTTGAATCACGCGACTAGCAATTAAGTCGTGTAAGTCACGTTATTCAAATCAGTGATCCAAATTACTAGATTTGAAATGCGATCTGAATCACTTAATTCGAATCAGGATTTGAATCACTGATCTGAATAGCATGTTTTGAATCATTGATCCAAATCACATGAGTCAAATCAAGCAATTTGAATCATGTGATTTGGATCAATTTTCAAATCAAGTCTTTCAAATCAGTGAGTCAAGTCATGTGATTCCATTTATGCGATTTGGGCCTCTATTTGAATAACTTCGAATCATGCGATTCGGATTACTGATTTCAATCATGTGATTTGGATCAATATTCGAATCACGCGATTTTGATAATTTTTAGAATTTATTCATTTGAATCATGCGGTTCGGATAAACTTTTACTATTATATTTATTCATTTGAATCATGCGACTCGGATAAATGATTCGAATCATACTATTTGAATCATACTATTTGAATCACTGATTCTTAAGGAGGGACTCTGATTGTTGATTCGAATCATGCGATTTGGGTCACTTTTCGAATCAAGTGATACAGATTAGTGACTCAAATCAAGTGATTTAAATCATGCCATTTGGATCAATGATTCGAATTTGATTCAAATGAAATGATTTGAATAACTAATTCTTATGAAGCAATTCACATCACTGATTCGAGTCATGTGATTTGGATCAACTGATTCAGATCTTATTTTGAATCTATTAATTTGGATCACTAATTCAAATAACATGACATAAACGATTTAATTGCAAATCACCTGATTCAAATCAAATGCTTCAAAAAAATTAGAAATTGAAATAAGTTTACTTACCTATCACTATTTTACTTTTAATTAATATAGATAGAAAAAAGTATCATTCTTTCTCATTAATGAAGTCTTACAATTAAATAAATATGCTAATTATATATTTCATATAATTATATTATATATGTTGCTAATTGCTATGAAGACTTTTGAGAAATCTTAAGTCATTAATAAAGAAAGCTTAAGAATTCCTTAGGTTTTACAAGAAAATTTTAACTATATATGACATAGCATCACTGTGAAACAAAACTGAAATTTAAGAAAGAATTATTCACTTTAATTTAAATCTATTTAGATAAAAACTGATTCAAATCACTTAGATGATTTTCTTTTGCCCAACCGTAACCGTAATAAATCAATAGGAAGAAAAAAATATTTTTGTTTTCTTTAAAAATAATTAGTCCCGCAGTGGACTGATCGTTAAGACACGGTTCCCAGCAGATCACCGAAGTCAAGCATCACTGGCTGCAGTCAGTGTGCGGGTGGGTGTCCACTTGGATCAGTCTGCGTAGGGACCGAGGGTGTGCGGTATTGGTCCTCGTTAAACTGTGCTGCCGTAAAGTGCTCGACTTCGCGCGCAGGTCGTTGGGCTACCAAAGCGGGGGTGCCATCCCCTCCGCAGAGGATCAAAATTGTGATGGCATGTCTTCGGATCATCCTCCGGGATGTTTCCCAGACCGTCGCCAATAGCCCATTGTGCAGCTCTAGTGCGACGTAAATTAACATCAATAAAAATAATTAACCTTTTATTGGGTGGCAAAAACACATGTATTAGAATGTGCATATTAGTATATACCTGTATTAAAATATTATAATTAATAATTTTTCTTAATATTATAATAAATAATATTGATTGAGTCGTGGTGGCTCAGGGGTTAGAGTGTTCTCCTTCTAATGAGGTAAACTGGGTTCTAATCCGAGCAATGTCTGGTCGATTGAATTCCGCAACGTTCACAGTGCTGACGTAAAATATCCTCAGTGGTAGGCGGATCATGAGTTATAGTCCTCTTGCAGTCAGGCTAACTGTGAGAGGTTTTCATGGTTCGCCTCACCATGTAACGCAAATGCTGGTTAGTTCCATCAAAAGGTCCGCCACGAAGGCAAATTTCTCCCAATTCTTGATCCAGGAGTTCCCTTGCCTTCTGTATTGGGTTCAAAATTGCAAGGCTACGGAGTTGAACATAAGTAGCTGTAAACCCCCCAAAATTGGGTCAGTTGTGTAACAACGGTTATAAAATAATATTGATTAAAAAGTAAGTATAAGCAGTGATTTAGCTAACTGTTAAAGTTAGTTAACTATTTTCAGACAAGGTAATAAATTTTACATGGTAACTTGCGAGAGAGGGATATAACGCAAACAATTTTTCAATAATTTTATGTTTGATGTAATTCTGATAATTTCATTGGTACAGAAATAAAAATTTATGGTTGAGGGGCACAATCTTAAGCATAATTCCATGTATGGAGCAGGTGTTCAAAATAGTGATTTATGTATGTTTAACTCTATAATGTAAATTATATTAGGGATAAATTCTTAGTTTTTTCTATCCCTATTGTAAAAGATATGTGAAATATGTAAAATGTTAACTACGAGAAAACATAATTTCTTATGACACTTGGAGCTTTAGTTTCACTGACTATTGTTTTTAACCAAAATAATTCAACAATTTTCCTTAATTTACAACTTGGAAAGCAGTAGAAATCATTTTTTAAGTAATTTTTGAACCTTAAAAAAAATTGAAATGGACACTTTTCTGAACAAAACAAAGCTATAAATAATACAGAAGAATAATTATGACAAGACCCCTTATTTTCTATGGTCTGTATAACTGTACTAAAATATTCGTGAAATAAGTCTTATAAAATGTTCTGTAGTATGAAACAATTCCTAAATCTTTCTGATGTAGTATTAAAATGTGTAATGAACAAAGAATTATTTGAGCGATCCTTTGATGTCTGTGCTTATTAACAATTTATCAATGAAATTTTTTATTGCACGGTCATTGACTACGTTAGGAATGTATTTTAATTTGAAGCTTTATAATAACATACTCATGTTATTTAACAATAAATTGTTTCTAGGAGTGGATAGTGAATTAATCGATTCTCTGCACTCAGAAAAAGATCAATCTACAAAAGTAAGTTATATTTAGCTTAATTATAAATTTAACAAAGAGTGTGGCAGATTCATTTGTTTCAAGTTGTATATTTCTACACACAAGTCATTAATTTTATTAAAAAAATGCATAATTATCAGAAATTTTTTATTGTTATGTCTTGTGTGGCTCTGTTTACCCCGTTACACATGCTCATGCGACTAATAGGTAAAGAATATTGTAGATTTGTAAAGTAAATATGCACACACACATTTTCTACGTTCTAATATATTATTAGTTACTGAAATATAAGTGGTAAGAGTCAACATTTAAGAAAAAAATTTAGCTTAACTAGTCATGTGCATAAGAGGATTAGTAATACAACAGTTAAAGTAATAAATCTGGCTATTATTAATAATACCCAGCGATTATTATTATTAACTGATTACGAACTCATTATTGATCAAATTTGCAGATAAGTATCAAAACGAAATAGTCATCTTTTCACTCAAGTTTTATCAGTTACAAAGGAGTAAAAAAAAACATAGAAATATGTATGTTACAAAGTATTAAGTTATAACATGTTACAAAGAATGTTGCTTAAGTTTTAAATGTGCAAAATATAAAAAGGTTGTAATTTGTTTAAAAGAAATATAAATTATACTCATCCTGATCCAACTTGAATTTGTGTCTCTTAAATTAAGTATTGCTCAAGTCTTGCATATAACAATGCTCTGGCAATTTAATTATACTGATATGTTCATGAAGCACCTGATCACATTCGTTACAGAAAGCTTATCCAGACTGTCTTGGCCTGTAGTATATTTAAGGAAGAATATGTTCATCATGAGTGATTTAATTGCATTTACTTCAATGCTTTCATTTCTTGAATAGTTTTATTGAAGTTGAAATTTTCTTTATTTTTAGATTGATTACTCGAATGCTTTAAAAGACCACAATTATCAAAATGTAGAAGAGCATAAGATTTCAGGTGAATACTTTTCATGTACTTATTTTTTTTATTTGTTGTATGCTATTGATACAAAATAAGAGTAAAGTAAATTCAACAAATTTGATAAACCTAACGAATACTGCTTTTAATGTTTTAACTTGAAATGGCTTTACTGATTAAAAATAAACTAAGGTGTTTATTTTTAATCAGTAAAGTACATTCAGGTTATTTGGCTCATCTGTTCAAGATCAATAGATAAGTTAATTAAAACTTTGCAAAAGCTCATTAATAGTTTTTCAATCTTTTCTTTGTATTTAAAACTGATAAAATTTGGCACACATTATAAATTTTTATTAAATTGTTATTAATCATGTGCATTTTAAAATAATTTTTTTAATGTAATATTTAATATTTCTGATTTATTTTTCTAATTCTCCACTGCATTAATTAATATTTCATTATTTTAGTAATTTTTCAATTCTGTGCTCAAAAAATAAGTCTCTAAAGATTGTATTTTGCCTTTATTCAGCTTTAAATTAATGGATTTTTTCCCCTTCATTTTTCAGTAAGTTATGATGACATCTGTTATGATGCTATTACAAGAAATGACATGTCCTTGTATAATGATGAACCAAATGTTTATGCAAGTTTGAATATGATGGGCCAAACAATTGACGAGGTAAATTTATTTTATTATGATATTTATTTAATGAAATTGTTTATGCATTGCATAACTTTAATAAGAATGTAGTATATTATGATCCTGAAATTTTACCAAATTTCTTACACTCTTACTTTATAATATTGCAATATTCATTAAAGCAAATTCAATGCAAATGTAATTATAGCTTTTATAGCTATTGCAATGTTCATAAAAGCAAATTAAACGCAAACTTAATAATAGAGAATTCAAATACAATTACTATCTGTTTTCTAGAAAATAAGGATTGGATATTTTGGGGATTTTTTAGAAAAATAAATAAATGAAAAGAATTTATATTTAAATATAAATATGTATTAATTTATTTAGGAAATAAAGTAATAATTTTTTAAAAAATATTTTTGATTTTCAAACATGGAATTAAGCTATTATGTACAAGCATGCAAGACTAATTCAATCATTGGTTACTGCTCTTAACACACTACGTGATGGATGAGAAAAATGTAGGAAGCTTTCCCGAGTATAACTAACTGATTTCATTGTCAAAATCTCTTTTTCATTATTCTTGTTGTACACATTCTAATATAGATTTTGTTTTTCAAATTTTTATTCTTGTAATTTATTTTTTATGGCTCAATAAATACAATAGAAAATCACTATAATTATATTAAAGTATACCATAAAACTAAATTATACCATAATAAGTATACCATATAAGTATACCATAAAACATAGTAGTAACCACTACTTTAGTGTTTTTTTTTTTTTTCAAAGAGACTACTGAATTAATTTTTCAATTTTTTATTACAAGTTTTTTAAACATTCAGTTATTAATTTTTAAAATCATTTTTTTTACGAAAAAAATCTCAATTTTTAATTTAAAATTTCAAAAAAAAAAAAAAATCCAATGTTAAAGTAATCTCAAATAGTAGAAGTAGTAATCTCAAATAGTACAAGAACAAAAAAAAAATGGTTTCAAAAACAAACTTAATTTTTCTCAGAAAAATTGCATTGAAAAGTGATTCTAAATGTAAAAAAATAAAACTGGAAGAAAAAAACTGTTAAGTGCATGGTGTCTGGAGGAACAAATAAAGAAAAGTTTTATAGATTTTTTTTAAATTGATAGAACACTTGACTTACATTAAATAGATTTTAAACGTTTTACAAAATGCTAATTTAAGATTTTAGACCAACTTATTTTAATAATTAAAAAAAAAATGATATATAAAAAAATTTTCAAATGTAAGATCTGAAATTTATCCAAACGTAACTTATTTTAAAAACACTATGGATTTTAAATGTGTCATGATGTATTCAAACATTTTTCAGAAATTCACCAAAGTAAAAATTAATTGACGAAGCATTAAGTTAAATCTGAAGATTTGATAGTAACATAATTAAAAAAGGGCTATTAAAACATACTGATATTCCTTTGATAATTTAAATAATGGCAAAAAAAACAAACAAACCAAGAAATATAAGTTACTGTTGAAGTTATTTATTTTGGCCACCCCATATAAAAGATCTGTATAGCAATAAATTTTTACATAAATTAGATGTAATTTTATAATTTTTGGATGAAATGATTCGTCTTTTAGACTTTTTATGATAGCTATTTTGTTAAAGCAATTTTTTAAAATTGTTATTGTGTTTAATTTTTGTTATACATTTCAGACTATAAGTAAAACAAAAGTAATTACATGTAAATTCTTATTAGGTACTTAGTCTTTTCTTTATTAGCCATTAGCCAAGTTTCAATTTACTCAATTCCTTTTATGGGTGGGCTATAAAAGGAATTTAAATAGCTAAGCATAAGTGTTGTTTTTTCAATATTTTATTTCTATGTAATAATTGGTTTTTTATTTTAAGTGTAGTTTAATTTTTACTTTTCTCTGATAGAACTTCTTGGAAAATCTATCTTTAGCTGTTCTTGACTCTAAAAAGGAATGCAATCCTCTGCTAGGTAATTTATATGATTTATTGATTAATAATTCACACTAAGACTTATGAAACAAACAACTTAAGAATTTCGAAATTTTCACAATTTTTAAGTTTAAATCAGAATATTTTTTCAAGCAAAAACATATTCTTATTTTTTTCCTGTTTATTTTGAACTGAATTATACAAAAAGTGCATAATTTCTTAAACAGAGTGAAAAATACATTTTATGAGACAATTAGTTAAATAATTACGTGAATAGCCTCACTTGAAAGACTTATTGAAGCGTCATAGAATAATTAATGTATTCCTATACGCTAACCTAATTAGAAAACATAAGAACTTAAAATTCGTCTTATGCTTAACATGCTAGCAATTTTTGATGAACTAAATTTCAATGATTTTAGTAAAAAATTGCTATAATTGTTTAAAATTTTATTTTTATTGTTCCATCAATAATGCTGCTCACATGTTTTCATATAAATATTTAATTCTTAAAATATATGTTTTGCTAGTTGTCATTTCATATAAAACCAATGGGCAATTCCACGAAAGTGTCAACTTTTAAGTGAAATTTTTTTTTTATGAATTGCATATTTTAATTTTAAAAATATGTTCAAAAATAGCCAAAGTCTGCATATTACTGTTTAATTTTTGATAATTTTAAGTTTTTTGAATCTGGCAGCATTCTAAAGTAATCACATGGCTGACAAGCAAATTCCTCACATTTGTGCTCAAATTGTTTTCTTGAAAAATACTTATAAAATAAAAGAAATGTATCTTTCTTTTACAATATTTTGATAAAAATATGCATATAGTACAAAATTTAAGCATTTAAAACATAGCCTTTAAGTCATTTTAACTTTAATATATTAAATAAAAGTAACTTTTTTTGTGTCATTCCGTCACATGTTTTAGTATATTTTTTTAAATAGCAACTGCGTTTTTGAATGAAAACTGTGGTGAGGTTTT